TTATGATTGTAATAAATCAAAATAAATTTAAACAAACGAAACTTTTATTATAAAAATGTATCTACCAACCATATCCATTTCATGACAGCGCAGACAATTGTAGAACAACATAAATTGTTCGTTGTTCATTGAAAATTGCACAAATTGTCAATTAGATGGCAACAAATTACACTGCCACAAATTCTGCTCACGCAGAGCCACCAAGTCACGCCCAGCCCACCGTCACCTGCCCCCTTAGGCATGCCCTCAGCCACAGAGCCACAGCCTTTATTAGTGTCCATGGAGTTGCGATATTTAGTGCACACGACAAATTGTCCACCCAGAGCTCTCGCCCCTCTGTGCTACATATGGTATATATAGTATATATAGTACTATATGTATATCCATGTCGAAGCCTTTCTCCTGCTCTCTCTCTCTTTGCCTAGTGAAGCGCAGCGCCGAAATGTTACAAAATCGCACAAATGGCTTGCACCACATCCCTTTTCATTTGCGTTTGCCTACCCATAATGCCCATTGCCCTCGCCCCAAATGTAAATTAATTGCCTGTACAAATTAGCCAACTCGGCGAACATTTCGAACATTTTGTACATTTTGGACATTAGGCCCAGGCGCACAAAATGCTGGCATAAATGGGCAAACTCTCCCCAATTTCCCCATACGAAATAATTGGACAATCACCAGCAAAAATGCTTCCCATCGAAATACTCAACTACAATATACCCTGACTGAAATATAAATATGCAATTGATGAGGATTATATAAGTTTACGTTAACTAAAGTTAGAGATTCAAGCATTTGGATTAAATACATATTTAAATATTTTAATGTGCTTAAAAGCTTTTCAGAGTGAATTGAGCCATTATGCAAGCTGACTTAAGCAGCTGACTTAACATGAAATTTTAATGAGCTGACCAGCTTTCTAGCGGTTATGACTTGATTATTGTGTTCTCTATTCTTTAAGCTGTAATCAATACAGTAAATAACAAAAGTTTCATATGGTTAGTTCAGCTTAATGTTTATTGAAACTTTAATCGTACAAACTTTAATGAGCTTTTACTCCCATTCCCAATTAGATTTTATAGTAAAATACCCTATATTAACTACTAGCATACCCTAACTCTCTTACACTCTCATTTTGTCATTGCCAGGTAAACAGATGCAAATGCCGCTCGTTATTTTTAATCAGCTATCAAAATGTAAAGCTGCTAAATTTATCTGAAACATTGTCGAAACGCAGGTGAACAACATTTGCCATTTCATTCCAATTTTAATATTGTGCGCACAGCAACTTTTTTCGCGTAAAATATTTAATGAAGTCGCGCATATACAAACCACGACCCCGCCCCAAAACACCATTTGCAACATTTGACTTTTGGCTTGTTTGCATTAGTTTATTTGTGTGTGTTTTGTGCATATTGAAATTTGTTGTTCGAGTCGCATTAAAGTTAATGAGGAAATTGCTGGAACAGGCATTCGACGGACATTTGAGAGGGCAAATTGAGGCCAACTATTAGCCAAAACTGTGCTGTAGGCCAAATTCATTTATACTAGAATTTATTTACGAATGTGAAAAGTTTCAAATTACTCAAATGCTTGAATTTAGCTTGCTTTTTCTCATTTTTATGAGCTCTCGTTGGGACGGAGTGAAAGAGCGCTTAATAGCCAAGGCAATGGACTGCTTCTTTTTCTTCTTCAACTGAATAAGAATCAGAATCTGAATCGGAATCTGTTACCAGTTTATCATCAACAACAACAATTGAAGCTCCCCAATCCCCCGAGTTTTGTATCTGCAATTGAAGCAAAAGCAAATGCCTTGCGGCACTTGGCAACATAGGCACAGCAATTGGAATGAGTCTAGAAATGAGAAATGGAAGTGGAGAACGCATGCCAAATGGGAAACGGGAAGCAAGTCGCCTGCCTTGCCAGCCATTTAAAGTCGCCAAATGATGGCAGGCAGCAGTGGCAGTACCCAGAGCAAACAGAGCAGTGGGACCCCCCAGAGAAGGAGACGTAAGGGTGGCCAAAGTGGAGTGGGGCCATGCCAGCGCAATTGAAACAACAACGAGGCGGAAATAAAATATTAACTTTGCTTAACTCAAACTCACGATTCAATTAAGAAGCGAAAGCCATTTTATAATTGAAACGAGCTGCCTGGTGCCTGCCTAGCTGCCACGCCTTCAGGCGTCTCCCCCATGAAATGAACGATAAACAGGAAAACGGCTGTGGAATAGACCAAAGGCAAACAATAAAGAACATCAATAAATATTGCGAGCAACAAAAATTAGCAAAAAGGGAAACCTACGTAGATAATAACAATGGTTAGCAATGGTTAGAGAGTGGCAGGCGCCGGCAGAAAATGAAAGATGATTATTCATTAGACTGCAAATGATGTAATTGAAAAGTTTTTTGTCACAACTGCCAGGACTCACATCATCATCAGCAGCCGCAGCAGCTTTTCTGAGCATCATCTTCTAGCTTTCAAAGACAAAGCCCGCCGCATAATTTGTCACCAAACCTAGTGGGCGGGCGCGGGAAGCGTGGCAGCTGTGTCTAGGCGTGGATACCCAGACTGATGATGCGTGTGACTAAGCAGAAAATTTTCAGCATTGGCTCCCCAGTTTTACGACAGCCAACAGACAACTCGCTGTCCCTGTTCCTGTTCCTGTCCCCTTTCGGTAGACAAACACCTTCTCCCCCTTCCTCCCCCTCTTATCCTTGCTTTTGATTATGATTGAGTTGACGTCGTTAATATGTTATCGATGATGATGTGCAGCTCCTCCTCGATTGCCAGCTCACTCTGAGTGTTTGCCACGCGCTCGCGACTTGCGGCTTCACCAGACAGATGAGGCGAGCTGCTTGGCTGCTTGACTGCTTGGCTGCCGGCTGTTTGTCTGCTGCTCCATTTAAATCAGTTACATTGCTCGCAATGTCAACACAAATACACACAGGAGACACACACACACCCATCTCTGTACACACATGTGCACTTTCATTTTGTTATTTGTCTTTTGAATTATTAATGAATCTGCTGAATGGCATCGGCCTCAGCTTCAGCTTCTGCCTGAGCTGTGGCAGGGATCTCAGCGGTAGTTGACGTCATGATGATCTGGCTCTTAATCAAGTGAGTCGTCGCCTGTCTCTTCCTTGCGGCTTTTTCCTTCATCGTAGATAAGTTTAATTAAATCTCTGGCATATTCAACGTTCCACATTCCGCATGCCACGGCTGCATTGCTGCCACGCCCACAGCTGGCTTGACCGCGCATTGCAAGACTTTCCGCACTTTTCGTTGAAGCAACAAAGTTTTCTGATTTCGATTTTTATTGCGGCCAAAAAACCCAGCAACAATTCCCAATATGCAGCCATGGAGATTGGAGGAGGCAGCAGTAGGAGCAGCAGGAGAAAGAGCAGAAGCAGCTGCAGTGAGCGGGGTAACAAGTGCCAGCAGGTGGAAATGGAGGTCGGTTTCTTGGCAACAATTTCATTTTGGAGGCACTTGACTGCTGCACCCACTCCGCCTCTGCCTCTGCCTCTTCCTCTTCCTGTTCCTTACATTTCCATTTCCATGCCAACTCTTGACTTTCCACCTGGCCGAATGTTTTGATTTTGGTTCTGGTTTTGGTTCTAACTGCACCTGGAATTCCACACGCAAGCAGCAGAAGGTTGAAAGCAGAAGCAAGAACGGGGGAAGGGAGCAGAGAACCACTTGAACCACAAAATCCACACAAACATTTCTGCAACGCAAAACTTTTCCTATTTTCCCTCCTTTTCCCCTTGAATAATTTAAAAAGTGGAAAACACACAAAATATTAACACGAATTTATTAAAACACCAGTCGAAGCAACTCGTGTGACTTTTAATCAGCAGAGGCTACCCCAACTGCCACGCCTCCCCAGCTGCCCCCTTTCTGCAGAAGTTCCCGATGTGCGTTCCTGTAAGCTGTTAATCTTTTTTCAACTTTGTAATTACTTTTGCAGGCAGAAAACTTTCTTTGAGCACATTCACAAATTATTTTTGAAACAAACAACAAAGCCACTCAACCACAGCACCACACGCACTCCTCTCTCCAACCACACACCACACACAGTGTCACCAACCACTCGACTCCTGTCCGAAAACTCAACTAAATCACTTTCTATTCAACAGGACTCTGTTTCGAACGCAGCAGCTGGCCAGCTGGACAAGCAGTCGAGCAGTCGAGCAGACGACACAAAAAGGCCACCAGGACCAGCTGGACAAGGAGGACAACCAGGACACATGCTCGACACCAACAACTGGCTCTGGCTACTGACCAACGGGCGAGACGTTGCCAACGTGACGAGCTAAGCCACCAGCAAGAGTAGCAGTTGGTCAGAAGAGAACGAGCCACAGAGAAGGGTGGAAGCTGGCCAATAAAAAAGCTAACGAAAGTCGTTCAGAGTCAGATGCGAAAATGCTGATGCCACTTGCAGTCGACAGCCGAATTCAGCAGCAGCAACAACAAAAACAACAACAACAGACGCAACCGCAACAAAAACAAAACTGGAAAAGTTGAACAGGGACAGAGACTGCAGCGGCTGAAAAGTTCCAAAATTTACCAGACACAAATTTCGTCGAGCTCTGCTCGTCGTCGCTCGTCGCCGCTCGTCGCTTTGTGGTTGCATCCGGAACTGTTAGCAGCAGTTGCCGTTGCCGTTGCCATTGCCGTTCCCGGAATTTGATTTTAACGCATCTTTTAGAGCCGCGTTGCCTGTTTGCCCACTGGCAACTGGCAACTGGCAACTGGCAACCAAATCAAAACCGAAAGGAAGAGTCTCGTCTGTGCCTCCGGAACGCTTCAATGGTCACACATTGAAATTGGCTGTCACAAAGCCAAAGGGGAACGCCACTCCCCCTTGAAATGAGCGCCAATTGCGGCGTCACATGCACTGACAAGTTATTAACTGCACGTATCCCAGGCAGATAAGCATCTTCCACAACATAACATTGACAAGAGAAGAGCGGAGGAGCTCCTCATGTTCATTATGGCCAACAGCCGCTGTCTGCTGCTGCAGCTCCTCTGGACTGCGCTGCTCACTTGGCAGTTACCTTCGGTCAGCGGATATCTCAACATTTTCATCAGTCACCACGAGGTGATGAAGCTGATGGGTAAGTTCGTATGAGAAACATATTCGGGGGTAGGGCAATCTCATTTCGATTTGAAAGTAATCGTTGGGACGTCGGAACTCCGCCCCACTGATATGATTAATAGTTGAATGGCAAAGTGCGACGGGACAAATTCATTGCTCCTCAGCCGGGAAAACAAACAAACAAAGTTAAGGCGGGGGTTTAGGCACAGACCACGTCGCAGTCATTAATAGTTCCAAAATAATTGTTGACCATGACGACGGCGAGGACGATGTAGAAGAAGAAGAAGCAGGCGAGGGGTTGGACAACCACAAAAGTTACGCGAAAACACGAAAGAAAACAAATCCACACAAATCGATTTCCGGCTGTAGACGGAGCCACCCTCGCACCTTTGCCACCCTGTTGACAGCTGCAAGTAGTCCACCTCCTACTCCGCTAAGTTTCCCCTCCCTCACTCCTTGCTCCATCTGCTAACGACTTCACAGTCCGGTGCGGCGCATTTTGTTGTTTGGTTTGCTGTTTTGCTCGACGCGAGGCCTCGTTATTGATGGCGCCAGCTATTCAAGTGCCTCCAGATCGACCTTGTGCCAGGCCCAGCCCTAGCCCCAGTCCCGGTCCCAGCTCCTGCCCAATTCATGTCCTCGAAAATAGTTACAGTAATAGGCATTCATTCGGCGTGCCAAGGCGGAATGACGTCGTGTTGCTTGCCTCTCGTTGATTAATGGCTCATGGCTCCAAAATGTGAGCCAAGGCGGTTCCTCCTCTCCTTCTGTCTCCCCTTAGCCACCAGTCCATCATTCATGCGTTAGCTGTGCACAGCATTTTCCGGCACTTAACTGTAATTGGAGCAAAATGCTTCGATCTCATTATGCAGGCTCAATCGTACTCCTAGTCCTAGTCCCAGTCCAGTCGCTCCTAATCGCCGAATCACGGCACTTCAATTAGTTGAACAGCATAAAAATAATCCACACAAGTGCCACATGAATCCGAGATTGATGAATGGGCGAACAACTTTGAGCTGCAGCTGTCGCCCACGTCACTGGGTCAGCTCCAGCTCCGTTTCGCCTCCTCTTCGCTTAGGTTGGCTCTCTTTCTCATTCGCTATCTCTGTCTGGCCCTCTCTGAGATTGCATTCAAGTTCGCTGAGCCATGCACTACTCGCCCGGGCAATTGACACTTCACAAAGCATGCGCTGGTCCCTCACCCCTTTTACATCTTTGAATGCAAATCGGATTTCATTAGCGACAGCTCAAAGAATCTTCCACTTTGTTTGTTGCTCTTTGTAATTTCCTGTGCTGCGCTGTGCGCGATTCCCATAGATTCCTTTTCTCACTTGCCTTTACTTCATCATCTCCATCCACAAAGCTCGTTATGCTTTTAACGACCCGTTAACACCCCTCCCTTATAATATTTGCCTCCCTCTGGGCTTGTTTTCCATTTCAAAATTAACAAGCAGCATGAAATCAAACAAACTGACCCGCCCAGCTCGCCTCGCACCCCCTCGGCAATCACTCGCCCATCTTCTCTTTCCTCCAACTGCGACATGCCATTGCATGATTTATTTTCAGGGCTCCTCTTCTTCCTCTGCATATGTCTCTATGGCTATTTGTTCAAGTGGAATGCGTGTAACGGCTGCATGACCCAGCTCCATCTCCATCTCCCTCTCCATCTCCATCTCCGTCGCCCAGTCCCCGTTCCAACTGCCGATTCTCTCCCTGTTTCAGTTCCTCCTCCCTTATTCAGCATACGCATTTCTCGAATAACTTCACTCTCTGGCAGTTCCTTCATTGCGTGACTGTGATTGACGTGATGCATTCCCACAATAAAAATCGAGTATAGAGTTCGCTCTGCTATTCCAAACGCCGTCCTCTGCCTCTTCCTGTTCCCTCGACTCACAATCGGAAAGTTTGTTCCATAAAGCGAGCTGTAAACATGAGTAAAACGATTTCTTTTCTGGCAACTCCTAACTACACTGATATATATATATAAATATCTCGATTTCTTCCGATGGAGTGACGACAACATTAAAATTAAATATTTTTTACGCTTTTGCTGAAGATTTTCCGCTCTGCCTTCCATTGCCTCGTGTCGTCCTAGCAACGAGCAATTTTCGACCCACAGTTGCTAGCGACACCAGCTTCAGCCACCAGTCAGGGAGGGTGGCCCCACTTACCACCCCCACCTGCTCCGTGCTGTGCAAGGGTGCGTAAAAATGCAATTTCAACAAGTTTCACTTTGATGTGCACATTTCTTGAGAGCGAACAGGAGCCCAAGCTCGAACAGGACTTGTTTCTAGGTCTAGAGCATTCTCCCACCTTTTTGGCTCAAAAATTTCCCTTTAAGTTAAAAGTTAATGCAAAAGAAAATTATTTTTAATGAATAGAAAACAGCCCGAAAATCGCCACATTAATAAAGCAACCCTCAACCTTTTATGCCCACTCCCTCCTTCAATAGAGCAGGGTCGATTTTCTTTACTGCTGAGCAAGGCGAGAAAAGCAGACAGAGAAGGCGTGAGCAGTTCTTAAACTGTGCCAATTAAATGTCGAGCTCGATTTTGATTCAAGAAACGAAGGCGAAGGCGAAGGGGAAGGCTATTAAAAGAACTGCATTCATTGCAAAGGGATAAGCCATGTCAAGGTGTCACCTAGGCAGCAGGAAAGGGGAAAGTGGACAGAGGCAGGCGACGGGAGACAGGCGACAGTCGAAAGGCAAGATGATAATTTCAGGGAATGCACAGCGTTGCACTGCTTCAAAGCGGCTGCTCAGCTAATGACACTAATTATCCTCTTAATCTTTTATGCAAATTGTGTGATGCTATTGTCAAAGCCGAGCCACGGTCCTTCTGCCGCTCCGAGATACTCCATCCACCAAATCCTTCCTCTCCACCTCTGCGAGCGAGCGTCTGCGGTTGCAGCGTCACGTGTGTGTGGCGAAGCCATTCAGACAATCGCAGGTATTATAATTATGGTGCAGAGCCAGGCGACAAGGGGAACTATCTGGGGCAAGGCACTGGGACTCCTGAACGAGCTAAAAACTTTGCAAGGCGACGGCAAAGTTGGCGCTGTGCAAGGCGCGTGATATGAAAGACGGCCAAAGTTCGACGGAGCTAGACTTGGACCCGTAACCAAGTTGGCTGTCCTTTTTATCTCCGGTTGCAGAACCAAAAGGATCTCACGAAAATTAAAGCTGCTTTCAGGCTGTAGCTTAAATTCGCTAAAGAGGCCAATCGAAAAGTTGAAAGTCTCCTTGAGAGTGAATCGCATCCGTTTGCAATCAAAACTGAATTAATTAAGCCAGAAGTGCATTTCCTCGGCCTTTGCCTTTGTGCTCTGCTCGCTCTGATGGCACCTTGTCTAAGCTTTCATCATTGTTGTCCTACAACTCAGCCCGAGCTGAGTGACATTGTCCTTTTCGTGTGTTTGTGCATATTTAATGTGAGCCACTTTGAGGTTATGTTTGTGTTTTTTGTTTAGTCTGTGGCGTATTTCCCAAAATGGATGAATAAGAAGGGATCAAATTCGAGTCAATTGCAGCCCCTATTCTCTCTCTACTTTATTTCCTTTGCTCTATTTCTGTGCAGTTTGCTAGCGGAAACCGGAAAATGTAAAAGGAAAGTAGCACGCTTTGGGTGCCTGAAGGATAGTCAGCGGGGTGCATAACAATTTCAAATTCAAAAACAAAATGAAACTGTAAAGGAAAACGGCATAAGAATTGGGGAAGTTCTTAGACTCGTCAGTAGATGGAAGCTAACGAAAAATGCTTTTTCTTGTTCTATAATTGGATTTGAAATTGTTTTAAGAATACGGAGAGCGCTCTCCTAAATGCACGCACATACGCGCTTCTTTCCTTCTGCCTCCGCCTCTGCCTCTGCTTCCACCGGAAGCGCAACACTCAACATCCGGCACAGACGCACAGTCAAAAGGATGAATGGGGAACTGGGGAAGTGGGGAAGAGGAGGCCTGGCAGTCAAGTTAAGGAGAGTAAACAGCATTTGCGACTTTCAATGCAAAGCGAGGCCTGATCCCAGGGAGTAAATGATGCAACATAAAGCAACCCACTAAGAGGGATAGAAGGGAGCTGGGGGAATAAGGCGGAGGCAGAGACAACAATGAAGGCGGATGAAGAAATTTAATTTCACGTCTTTTTAACTCGAACAGCTCGGCTTTCACTGCCAATAGAGTGAGAGACGGAGGCTTAGAGCTTCCAGGGCCGGGGTCAGAGATTAGGACGTTCCCGAAGCTAGTTAAAGTTACACAAAGCGAAGCATGATGATGAGTTTGTCGCTGTCTCGCCTGGTCTCGTCTCGAATCGAGTTAGACGATACTTGACACCTTTTAATATCTCGTCTCACCCCACACAAATCCCTTCGTTTCCTTCGTTCCCCTCGGACGTCTGTCGCGCTTCATTTGAGAGCGAGAACCAATTGACGCCCTTTGCATTGTCGCCTGCTGGTGACGGATTCGATTTCGATTATTATTGTGTCTTGGTTTTTGTTTACCGAACTTCGCTCACCCACTGCAAACCCACTTCCAACCCCCCTGAGTTGTCGAGGAAATCAATTTCCGTTCAAGTTGAAAGGTATATAGAGCTGGAGGGTAGAGCGAGAGAGAGAGCCATCAACTGCGAGGAAAGTAAACACAGAATGCACAAAGTTTGTAAAGCAGTAGAAAATACAAGGAAGGACCTCCAAGGGGAAACTGTAACAAAGCAAATTGTGAAATAAACTTTCTCTTTATACCTACAATGCATCGACAACCTAATCTCATCTTCACTATGCTCTCTATTCTCATTGAAAGGACTGGAAGCGGATTTGTTCTACGTGCACGAGGGAGCCATTAACACATACGCTATGCACTTCACTGTTCCCGTCCCGGCAGATGTCCACGAGTTGGAATTCTCCTGGCAGAGTCTCATCACTTATCCGGTAAGCCACCTGACCCACCCCTTCTACCTGACTTCAAAATTTGATTTGCACTCCATTAACTGACACACTCACTGACAGCTCCGCTATACAATCAGCATCGAGTACGCCAACGACCAGGACGCACTGGGCACCCCCACGCTCAGTATTCCACACAAGGGCGTTGTGCCGCAGGAGATCGAGTCGTTCCTAGTCTACCTGCCGTGCACGGGCAATGCCAGCCTCCAACTGCCGGTCAATGTCAACATGGTAGTGCAAGGGCCTCCCCGGTTTAACGACACCCGACTCCACTTCAAGCGCAACAAGATCTGTGCCAAAGGTAAGCTCTCAATGCTCTATCATAACCAATTGTCATTCGCTTATATCTCATTTCCATTGGCATAACTATCGCAGGCATCTCACCTGAGCCGAATCAGTCACCTGCCCCTGCCCACGCTCCCTCTCAGGGCCCAGCACTGATGAGCGCCGCCGCCTGTGCTTTGGGCTTAGTCCTGGCCGTAGGCCTTGTGGCTAGCATGATGTATGTGCGGGCTCGCAAGCAGCTACGCCAGGATTCGCTACAGTAAGTCTGATAGATTGGCGCATCAATTTAATTATCTACCTTACTATTAACTCTTCATTTCCATTCCATTCTTAGCACCAGCTTCACAACAGCAGGTTATGGCAGCCATCAGAACGTGTTCATTCGCCTTGATCCTCTCGGACGGCCCCCGAGTGCCACCGGCTCCTACGCGACCATTGCCAGCCTCAACAAATATCCAACGGAGACCAAAAAGTCCTGCAGCATATTCGACCGTAAGTTTTTCCCCCTTCAATAATCCCATCCCTTTTTCATCGACCTCCGAACTATTCATTTCCCTACAGGCTTCCGCAGCTCACCCACGCCCACACCCTATGCCACCGCCCTGCTGCCAATGGGCGACCAGGCCGGCGAGACCATTTACTCGAAGCCAGAATCGGTATGTCCCTCGAGGATTTCCTACTACGCCTCCTCGCAGCTAACCCAGGTGAGTCCCAATCTCCATCTGATTCTGTGGCCACATGAATTACCTCCAAGGGGGTTGAATCGAGCAACCAACTGCCCTCAGGTAAATCAATGCCTTTGATATGTTGCGACACGTGCCAAGCACAAATGGATATGAATCCCGTTGATGTTCGGTCGCTCTGTTGCCTAGGCCACCAGATCCACTCCGCTGCCAATTTGCGGCACTCACCACACCAGACCAGACGATTGCTCCCAAGGCAGCAGCTACGTCTACGTCCACATACAAATCCCGACTCGAGCCACCTTTCCACGTCGATAAAAATTAAATTCTAATTTATATTTACGAGCTGATAAAGCTCCCGAAGTGCGTTAAACTCGAAACAAGAGCCATTCATAAATATGGGACTCTCCTTTCCACCCACCAGGGTGCCAGGCTGCAAGGCTGCAAGGCTGCCAGGCTGCCAGGCTGCCAGTCCTAGTTGAATTCAGTGGGGTTGCTGAGAGTTGGGGCAAGTTTTGCCTGGCGCTCACGTAGCCCGTGCCACGACCTCCACACACACTGAAAGCAAATAAGAATTACGGAGATACGCGCTCTTATATGTGAGTGGAGAGTAGCTGGGGGAAGCGTGTGAGTTTGTTTAGATAAGCGGAAGGTGCTTCATACTCTGCTTACTCATCCCTTTGTTTTTCTTCCAGCTGAGATACTCGCAGAGTGCAAATTAGCAAACTAAATTTAAACTAACCAAAAGCCGCAGATGAATCCCTACGAGCTATCAAACCTTAAGAATGTCTGTTACGATTCCCCTCAAATTAATTTTATGATACCCTACAAAACTTTTTACACATTTCTTCCTGCCATCCTCCCTCTCTCCGTCCCTCGCTTGTTTTTATATATTCAGGGAATCCCTCTGACATTTTAGCTTCTTGGCCTTGGCAAATCTGTCGCAAATTAGAATAAATTATTTAGCAGCTTCTTCTTTTCTATTTCTCCGGCAAAAACATTTCACAGACCCAAGCGACGCTTACATTTTTCCTAGACAACAAAGTGTCGCACCTCCTCCCTCACTCTGTCGCCATTCTCATGATTGTTTGGGCCATTTTCGTCACCATCTGAGACGCAATTTCCATCGACGCATAATTAAATATTCAATTTCCATGGAGACTCCTTTGGATTTTTACTTGCTGCTTATTCCTTAACATTCCTCCAGCTGTTCCTGGCCTCTGCTATTTGCCCAAACGATTTCTGTTTGTTTAGACTTCAATTTCATCCTCATTATGGCAACCGTTTCGAGCCATTTGACTGGGGAGCAGCTAGGCACTCGCCTCACACACAAATAAATTCCCATTCACTCTCTCACATGGATATCTGGCATATCTGGATGTCTGGGATAATGCACAGCACCAAGAGTCATATCCATTTGCCGCTATCTGCTGGCCGCTCTATGGGGAAGGACGAGGAATTAAGTGAATTTATACAAAAGTGGAGCCCCAAAATTGCATATGGCTCTGTGGGTGAAGGGAGTGTTTGCCATAATTATTGCTGTTCTCTTGTTATAAACCCAAACCGCTCTAGCTACCCTCTCACTCATGCGAGTGCTTGTGAAGCACTAGGCAAAGGGAATAGGTGGGGGGATGTCGAGCATAGGAGCGACGCACTCATTTAGTCAAACAATTATATCCAAGTGCACACACACTGAAATGTTGTCGGCTCTGATCTGCTCACTTGTGTGGAAATATCTCATTTGTGTGGGGCTTCCCTTGCCAACAACATCCCTCTTGCCGACTCCCTTTTGATTCTATTAAATCAGTCTATAAATGTTGGCCAAATTGCTTTAATGTTCAGCGAAAGTTTAGCTAACGACTGCGGGGACTGACATACAACAATTACAGCAAAAGGCACAACGCGGGGGCTGAAGTAGTGAAGGGTAAATAACAATAAAAACAGCAGCCAGAAGAAGAAGAAGCCAGACTACAGCTGTTGAAACATGACTTTGTGCTTGTTTAGAAACACTTGCAAAATATTATTGCAACAGCAACAACAAAGGCCTCCAATACGAGTGGGTGCACATGGAAGGAAACCAAAGTAGGAGCTAGCTACTGCAAGCGAAGCAACAAACATAGAAAAGCATTAGGATATTGTATCAAGAGTAAGCTTAAGTGGGTTAGGGAAGGGGGAGGGGCTAAGAGAGGGAGAGAGAGAGAGGAAAGCTTAAGTGGCTGCTGCGGTTAAAGCAGTCGAGAGTAAGTAGAAGAAGCGAATGGGTTAACTAGAAGGCGGCAGCAGAGTCAACTTCACCTCCAGGCCACGCGACGCATCCGAATGGCATCATTTGGGGGCAAAGTTGGAAAAGTGCGTGAGGCACGGAAGCGGAACAGTTGAGAAGTCGAGGGAAAGAGAGCTGAGTATAGACACCGCACAGTTGGAAATTAATTTCCATGGAGCACGCCCTGGCTAGAGTATTTTATGGAGATTACGAAAGAGATTCATGCAACCTGAACAGGTGCTAATTAAAAATGTTGTCGTCGCCCCATTAAAGAAATTTGTAAATCAACCTGCAAATGACGCGCGCAGCATGCGAAAAGTTAAGCCTAGGCACAAGCGAAATGAGGGAAAGGGCAGGGGTTAAGTGTGTCCCCAACGGGGCAAGTGGAGCTACTGGGGGTGCGGCACGTACGCCGTTAATGGATTTTTCACTGTTGTTCTTTTGATTAAAACGAATTATTTACATTTGCGACAAAGCCAAACGCCAGGCAGAGGAGTATATGGAGATGATTTAATATGCGACGAGGCTTAAGTCTAGTCAGATGAGGAGAAACACCTTTGACGGTACTCGCCCCCGGCAAAGGCTGACAAATTGCGCAACTGTCAGATGATTTTTGTTCAGTTTTTTTCATATCTTTGCCTTCGCTTTTTTCTACCAATCTTTGCATGTAAAGGACTTGGCTCCTTTCTTCGGCAGGCTAGTGCCAAACTATGGCGAATGCCTTTGTCTGCCATTACACTATTGATTGCTTCCTGTCAGCCGCAGAGAGAGACAAACGGAAGTTGGCAACGGATGTTGCCTTTGTTGCCCGTTGCCTGTTGCCTGTTGCCTGCTGCCTGTTGCCCGGTTACTCAGTTACCCAGACAGGGAGAGAGAGAGAAGGAGCGAGAGTTTCGGCTGTCCGACATGGGCTTTATGTGGGATTTTGGTCAGTTGCAGACTGTGTCGGAGGGTTTTGTGGTTTTCACACCACCCACACTTGACCAGACAATGGTAGGCAATGCGATAAGATAGATGCGTTGGTTGTTGCTCTCGGCTGATTTCATTGCGGTCAGTTTGCGTTGACCACCTGAGGCACTGACTGGAGAGGGATAAGCATAAAGGCCGACAGAGATTGAGAGAAAAGACGCGAAACATGATTCAATGAAGCATTGGCATCTGTTGACAGCAATAACTTTGGCTTACACTGTCTCAGAAGCCAGAGCAAAGCTTAAATTGAAAGAGACGAATTGGTAGACCTCGTGCTTCCCTCACTTCAATTTGAAGCTTTAAGGCAAATAATTCAAGTAGTAAATAATATATCACTTTCAAATCCAGTTTTCTCTCTTAGACCAGACGTTAAAGAAAATGTCTTTAATTCTAATTTTTTATTGAAATTCATTCCATACTAAAAGCTGTATTAGCATTATTTATGAGCATCATGCAAAAATCACCTTTAACAAATTTTCATATGAAATATGCATGTCTCTTGTGTAAGAAATATTTAATTACGCAATTATACAAGCACATTTTAAATAACATTAAAACAAATACATAAAGAGTGCTTTTACGCTTTGTAAGCCACAATTGAATACCAATTCCCAGCAACTCAGTGGTGGGCGTGTCCAATGGCACGCGATGCCTAATTGAAAGGCAATTACCTGTAATTAGACACATATGTGTGTATGTGTGTGTGTGTGTGTAGGTGGTAAAATAGGTTAATTAGGCGGCACTTTTAATTAGACCCAAAAGGACTTTCGGTACCTTTAATTATGCATTAGATGCTTAAGACCACAACAAAAGGCGCTCAAAAAGTTTCCAAGCTGTTATTAAGAGCTCAAATATACAGAAGGTAAGGGGAGGCAAGGTCTAACAAACAAGGCAAGCAACTCATCAAATTGCCATGCATCAAGTCGATCAGGCATAAATCAAACGAAAATTCAAATTAGTTTCTCAGCCAATTAGAAACACATCTCGCTCGCTCGCTCTCTTTCGCCCTCTTTTTCTAACTGGCTAGAGACAAATGCGAAATTAATAAGAGTTTGTAGAAGAGAGAGAGAGGGAATGAAAAAACTTACGAATCCAAAAGTCTTGATGAAAGACTCAAATCCAGGGAACAGGCAAATGTGAAACGAGTAAAAGGGCAGGTAGGCAGTCAGTCAGGTAAATTGAAATATAATTGAGATATGGCTTGGGCACAAAGTTCACTTTTGTCAACTGACTAATTTCAGTTCATTAAGATGCCTAGCTCGTCGCTCGTCACTTCTAATGCCAAGGCGACAGCTCGTATACGCAATTTCCCACTGTTCCCTGCCGTCAGCGTTGCCTCTGGCAATTGTGTTCAACTGCAGCAATAACAACAACCATTTGCTGCCAAGCTAAGAACAATTTCAAGAATGCACAGTGGGTCGAAATGGTGGGCGGGGTTAAGTGTGTACAATGGGCTTCTTTGGTAGTTGAAATGTGACTAGGGTTGTTTCTTAATTTGAGTTTAATATATGTCGCCTTCGCAGAGCTGTGAGCAAGCCTTGACACACAAGTACATGCGCTTCACGGCTCAGACCCTAATCAGAGAGCTTATAAGGTAAATTTCAGAGTATTTCTTGCCATTATACGAATGTCAAATAGAATTTGAATAATTTAAGCTGGATTTGCCAGGGTTGTGGAAACTTAGGCTCACTTTGAATTCGTTTTCTAAAGTTATATTGAAAAGCGAAGATCTCAACTTCAGTTAAGTAAGCAACTAACTGTAATTGAATAACCAGCTTTACTCTATGACTATTCCTTCATATATATTTTTTGCATACAATCAAATATTGTTTTCTTTAGTTTCCTTTTCACATTCTTGTGTCACTGTGCTTGTAACTGCTGTCGCTATTGTTTGTTGCTGATGTTATGTTTGTTGCTTTTGCTGGCTGAAAGTTTGTGCTGCATTTTGGTTGCAGGCCAAGCACGCTGCAAGAGCAACACGAAATGTTGACAAAATTGTCATCAAGCGTTTTTAATTACGAACCAGTTGCGAGGGAACGCAACTCAACGTTGTGGTTGTGCAGACCGGGTGTGTGCGTGTGGGCAGCCATAGAGCTGCAAGTGACATAAACAAATCAGACGCCTGTCAAGTGTGTGAGCTGAAATTTGTGTATGTCTACTTATGTGTGTGTGTGTGTGTGTGGTGTACATGTCATTTGCAGACCAGCAGCTACGCTGCATAGCCAACCTCCCCTCCTCAACAAACCAAGCCACCCCTCCGCTGCCTGCCGTGTTGTGTTGTCATTAGAAATGTCACAACAAAGCCAAACAGCTGCAAACCAAACGTCAACATTGCCAACGCTTTGAGTCACATTCTTGTTGTTGCTGCTGCTGCTGTTGCTGTTTTTGGTTATGTGTTGCCAAGTGTCGCCTCTGTTGGCAACAATAACGTCCCACCCCAGTGCTGCTCTGACACCCGAGCCACATCCAGTTTAAATTTGTGCAAATTTATACTAACAAGCAGCTGGCTACCCCCAAAAGCCAACCCAACCACCCCCACAACCGCTCTCTGCTGCTCCTCTGCCTTGGGCTCATCGCGCCTCATCTGAGTGTCAATGCAAAGCGAGATGAGAGAGCTGCGACTAGTCAGACAGTTGACAGCAACGGATGTTTTCCAATTTTCAGTTTAAGCAATAAGAGACAACAGCAGCAAAAGCAACAACAACTGCAGCTGTAAAAGCCATGGCAATATTGTCTATTTGACGTGCACTTTTAATATTCCTCACAAAATAGCTTAGCTTTTGCCACAATCATTGAGCCAGACGAGTTGTGGACTTTTGCAGGTGCTTTTGCTGCGGCTGCTGCTGCTGCTTCTGTGGTTGGCTTAATTCACCCTTCGCCTTCTTCTTCTAACACATACGCATGCAAAATGAATAACTCGAGATGGAGTGTAGCACACTCAAAGAGCTCCATTGACATTCGAATTGGCATCAGTTGGTTATTTGGTCGAAAACAAAGGGAATGTGATTCAGTTTAAATGTGCTTTTATCAAAATGAACTTTACTAAATTGAACTATTGGTAGAGAAGCACTCAGTTATTGGCTCGATTTTAATAGAGAAACGCTCAAATGGCTGCAGCTGCAGCTGCAGCATTCAAATATTCTCATTTACCTTCAGCTTGAAAAGTCATAAGGAATTTAGCATTCGATTGGACAAGTGAAGCTCTGTCATTGATTTGTGATACAATTATGCAGTGAAAGTATTCCAAACGTGCTTAGTCTTAGATATTAGATACAAACATTCTTATGGGAAGTTGACCTCTTCGAAATATGATATTCCACAGTCAACCAATTCCAAGCTAAAACAAATTTCATTCAGCTTAAGCTTTAAGATTCAATAGATAAATCCTAAATAATGATAGTTGTCCATGCGTCGCTTTCTTATTCAAGCATTACCAATCAGTCTTTGACAAATGCAAGGATTTAATTGGATACCTGATATATCAGAGTACAATTATTTAAATATGTTATCATAAAATTCTCATACTGAAACATAAAACTTTCATGATAGCAGCTCCAGGCAACAGTTGCTTATTCATAGAGGAGCTCTGCTTGCTATTCGCTTTGCTTTTGTATAGGAAAAATAGAAAACTATTCATAAAATACTCAATCTTCAGTGCCAAACTGTGGAGAGTTGCATCTATAAAGCATTTTTGGCACACTTTCAGCTCAACATTCATTTGCTGCATTGATTCGATTCACAGAGCTTGCAGCATTATCCCAGACTGTGTTTAATGTTAAGCCGATTACATAAAATCTAATTACACTTGAACTGTGCTCATTAAAGAGCAACTTGGCCCAGCTAATGCTAAGAACAAAAGCAATAAAAGCACGCAAATTGATATATGTATATATGTGTATAAGGGAATATGTTTATATATGTATATATAATTCTTGCTTGTTTCTACAAGCCGAACAAGCAAAGGAAGTTTCTGCCTCTGCCTCTCAGTCTTAGTTAGGGTCATAAAAGCGACGCCGGTGCAGCCCGCAGACACTTTTGTTGTGCCTGTCGGTGACATTGTTGTTTGTCGCTGTAGTACACAACGCAACCTTCTCCTCTATCCCCTGTGTGTGTGTGTGTAGAGCAAGCGCTTTGCATGTCGTTGGACCAGCTGGGCGACAAGGATTTATCGCCAGCGTCGCATTCACGAGCAGCCGCTGACGAGGGGACCAGCGAGCGCGTTGATGAGCTTGAACCAACGGACAGGACATGCTGCAATAGCAGCACCAGCACCACCAGCACCACCAGCAGCAGCAGCAGCAACACTCGCAGTAGCTGTAGCTAGAGTTGGTGCTTTGATGATGGAGTGCGATACTGTTGCGTTTTAATTGAATTTTCTTTGTGCGACAGCAACAACGAGCAGGAACAAATAAAATAAAGGACAACAGAGCACAGACGAGAAGACCGACAGACCGGCAGACCGGCAGACCGTCAAACACACAGACAGACTCGGGTAGCCAGAAATGGCAATAAAGGCAATAATGAATGAAATTCACTAACAATGGGCAAACAACTATTGTTTTTATTGCTGTCAAAGTTGCTGCTGCCCGTTTGTTGTCCAATTCCCTTTGACATTGCTACAGACCACATGTAACATGGTGCTTCGAATGAAGCTGTTACTTTTAATAAACGAAAATGATTGGACAGTTGTCTCAGGTGGCGCTGCCGCTGCTGCTAGAACATTTATGCAAATTTTCCACACCAAATTAAGAAAGAAATGAAGAGATTTTTCTTGGAGTTTATTAGACCAGCGCATCGAGCAGGCCCCTAGCCACTAGGCCCCCATCCAGCTCAACGGGCGGGTAAATGATTTTCGCTGTGTGAATTTTATGAAAATAAATGAGCTGCTGGCTATGGCTAAGGAGCTGCTGCTGTGCTGTCTCCCTATCTTCGTTATATATCTTGAGTGCCCGTCGAGCTTCCTATCCCCTCGCTTCCGTCCGGGAAAAACGTTGTTTATACAACTCATCTCGCAATTTCCTACAGCTGCGCCCTTCATGCCACGCCGTGTTGTTCATGTTGTTGTTGCTCGTGTTGGTCTAGGGCTTGGCTTCTGCTACACTTCTGCCTGCTCCTCTTGCTGCCCCTAGTGGCTCCTGGCACAAGGCTATGCAAACATAATGCTCGACGAATTAAAGCTTTTTGCCAACCAATAAATTATTCATGCCGTAAGACAACTACGGCTTGTCCTGGCGGATACAGAGCTAGTCTTCCCAGTCCCTACTCCCTGCCCCCTTCGTCTCTCTTCACTGCATCCAGCCCACGCTTTGCCACTCCTCCCAGAGGGCTACACAAATTATGGCACAGGCAGCAGGCGTTTGATGGCGTTGGCAACGCCAACTGCCAGCCAGTTGGCAACATCAGCAGTTCCTTCAAGCGGAAACGGAACTCAATTCATTAAAATGAATGAACGAAGCGCAGCCAAGTGCATGACTAACGGTAAACGGATGCAAGCTGAAAGATGCAAATCCGGTTGATGAAATTGCGTTTCCATTGCCTCCCCACTATTTGTAATATCAAACTCTAAGCTCCTGACCCTCTAGAGCTACCTAAAGTTCCTCAATTGGCCCTTAAAAAGAGTTTCGTTTTATATGATAATAAAAATATTCTAAGCACTTGCATGGGTTAAAGGACTAGGATATGAATCAGGTAAAATGATGAGATGATTACGGCAAGCAATCTTCTCTTACTTAGCCCATCTACATTTTAGTCTGTTTATAAGAATTGTTCCCTCAATCGGTTCAATTATTTGCTAACCCATCTCAATTTCATTCCTTCTTTAACTTTAACTTCCTAACTTAGACCTTCTCTGAAAAGCAACAGACTTATTTCTCTTTAAGAACAAGCCTAATATACCAAGTCTCGCGCTATAAGCTATTTCGTAAAAAAAATCCATAATTCCCATGAAAATGTCATTTAAGAATTTTGCATCTTATCCATTTCTCTTGCTTTCTCCCTTTTACAGCCCTGCAGCATGTCCACACCGAAGAGCAGCCGTGGCAATGGCAGCGGCAGTCTCTTTGGTGGCATTGCCACCGGCAGCACCATCACAGTAGCTAGTCACGGACATGGCGATAAGACTAAGGAGCGTCTGCGTCGCATACCCAGTGTTCAGCCAGGAGCCTTGAGCTACGAACAGCTGATCAAGGAGGGCACCTTCGGGCGCATCTATGCTGGCAAGCTGGGCGAAACATGCGATGCGCTGGTAAAAACAGTCATCGATGGCGCCTCGCTAACGCAGGTGGCCTGCCTGCTGCAGGATGCCTCACTGCTAATTGGCGTCAGTCATCAGCATATACTGGCGCCTTTGCTGGCCAACACCGAGCTGCCCGGCCCCCCAGAGATTGCTTATCCCTATCCGTCCAAGGGCAATCTGAAGATGTAAGTTGCCTGCCCTAATTCTCTTCTTTCATGATTAGTTTTCTATTTCCTGTGCCTTGCAGCTACTTGCAAAAGTCTCGAGAGTCTAGCACAGCGCTAAGCACTCGCCAGCTGGTAGAGTTTGGCTTGCATATTACCAAGGCCTTGGCCTACTTGCATTCACTAGGAATTGTGCACAAAGACCTGGCCACTCGCAATTGCTAGTAAGTATAGAGCAGAGAGGGAAAGGCTCAGCATCTGCATCATCTTCATCTCTTTACAGCGTCGATGAGGAGGCATATGTAAAGATATGCGATAGCGCCCTCTCGCGTGATCTCTTCCCGGATGACTACGATTGCCTCGGTGACAATGAGAATCGGCCGCTCAAGTGGCTATCGCTGGAATCGCTGCAGAAGAAGATCTATACCACACAGGGCGATGTTTGGTCACTGGGCGTACTATACTGGGAGCTGGTCACCCTCGCCCAGATGCCACATGAAGAGGTGGACATATTTGAGCTTACTAATTATTTGGCTGCCGGCTATCGTCTGGAGCAGCCCGTCAATTGCCCTGATGAATTGTGAGTAGCCTTTTAGACTGTTTCATTTTCAAATCATGCAACCCTTTATCCAAATCCCAAACAACCGCTCACCCTAACCACAATGCAGCTTTACGGTAATGAACTGCTGCTGGCACTCTGAGCCCAAACAGCGGCCAACACCCTCGCAGCTGCTGTCCTATCTGCAGGACTTTCACGTCGATCTGGGCATGTATATCTAAGGATGACGATGGCGATTAACTGACTAACTGATAAGCACTGCAGGCTAAGTATTCAATTGAATGAAAGAGATTGAGAGAGAGCGAGAGAGAGAGAGAGAGAGATAGTCAGGTCTATACATTGTATAACTGAAGACGATTTACTTAAGATAAATTAATTGAAAACTTTTACATTTTAAATGTGAGAATTGAATGTGAATTACCTGTTACCAATTTCTCTTTGAATGTATATGTATATGAATGTATGTATGTATGTGTATATATTATGTAAGTAAATGCTGAGGCATTTAAGTGACACAACAACCAATTAACTCAATAACAATTGCAGCCAATTCCACTTCAAGGCACAAAAGACAATGTTGACTTTGCGATGTGTTCCCAGCAATGCATTCTCCATTAAGAGAAATGCAATTGAATTTAATAATAAGATTTCCTGATAATTAAGGCGAATACATTTGCTGGAATGCAGGTCCTTAAGTACAGTTGAGCATTAAGTAGCTAGAAATTGAATACACACAAGTTCAGGCTTACATGGAATGTATACACTTCAAGCGTGAATAAAGGAGAAACATGATTGTGGACTAATTGAGAATGCATATTTTATTGAATGTGTATAAGAAAAGTGCAAGTGAACAAACAAAGCTAAATGAGAGATAGAGGGGGAGGAAGAGAGAGAGAGAGGAAGAGCAGTGAATAGATTTGAATGTGCGACAACAAAATACGGAATCTTTTGTTCTCAAATGTTGTCCTCAATTGTTATGAAAAAAAAACGATATATTTATTTATTTATTTACCAAACGAGCATTTAAATATTATTATATTAAAATATTATTATCACATATGTATATTTATAAGAGAAATAAATAAACTCTCGACTGATGAGGCACAGAAGCAGCTGAAGTTCAAATTAGTAACAGAATCAGAATCAGAATCAGAATCGGTATCAGAATCAGAATCAGGTGAAAACGTAGACAATGTAATTTGCTTTCAATTGTTAAACGTAGCAAAGCAAACTCAAACCAATTGTCAATGTCACGAGCTAAAACGTAGAAAAGTTATCAACGAAATTCCATTAGAGTCAACGCTGAACAAACCCAAATTTAAATCTCACAAAATGCTCTCACACCCACGCACACACACACGCACACACAGCTTCACACTAATTTAGTTATAAAACTGACTACTAATTCAGCTAACTCAGTCTGTCTGAAGTTTTATGAGACGCTTGAGGGGTTGGATGCTTACATAAAGCAAATGAGCAAAGGAATATCTCAATCACATTTAACTACAAGCATAAAGCTTCTTTAAAGCTTTTGTGTGTCATGAACGCTGATTAAGCAGAAAAGAAAACTAGGCAAGAAATTCAAACAAGCTTAAAACAATTTTAAACTCAACATAATGAGCTTAAAAAATCTATTTGACAAGCTCTTGGATGATTTAAAAGCTCTATCAGTGCTTTCATGTGCTTTGCAAACTGCGTTAATAAAAAGTTCACTTAACAATAACAGCTTGAAAAGAGAAAGCTTGAAAGCTATTCATCCTCACAAAACTCTTATTCTTCCTTAAGGTAGACTGACAAATGATGATCTTTAATCTCGTCATCACTTAGCCTACTTAGCTGTACTTAACTAGATGTACTCGATTTTTACAGGGTATCTTTTATGTTTTTCCTACTTTTGATTATATTTCCAGAACTGCTCGTCCTGTTTCCAGCTTAGCTTAAGATATTATTGTTGTTGTTTATGCTTTAGCTTTAGTTCAAATTGCGTTACGTTGTTTCCAGTTTCTGTTTCTATTTATGTTATTATTTGCATTTCTGTTAAAAGTTAGGGGCAACTCAAAGTTGCTCGCAAGTCATGCAAACAGCAAACAAAAACTTAAAATCCAAACGAAAACAACAGAAACAACAACAACAAATGCATTCATAGAATACGAACTACGAAATACGAAACACTAATTAAATGTTGTTGTAATTGTTAAAATGTGCAATAAAACCAAATAGACGAAAAAAAATACAGAAAATATTGTAAAAAAATACCCAAAAATACTGTTAAAGCATTTGTTCTTTTTGAAAATATCAACAACTGCTTTTTCATCAAACTATGTAAGCTATATCACTCTACTATATATATATATTAATATATATGTATATGTATGTGTAAATCTATATGTTTTATTTCTAAGCACTAACTGAACAAACTGAATTTTACTTTGCACTCGAAGGTATCCAAAAAATATGAATGTTACTACTACTAAATACTCACTAAAAACCAAAACTAACTTGAGAAACGAATAACGAAACAAAAACTAGTTAATAAATCTCTGATTCTGATCTCTCAACTCTATGTAGTATATACTAAGTGAAGCTGCTAGGCAGATGGTAACCGAAGAAAACCAAATAATACCCGAAACTAAGTGTAAAACAATTTTAAATAGTTAAAAATAATTCACAATCACACACACACACCCACACACACTTATTCACCCACTCACTAACAACTATAACTAACTGAATGTGTTTCATATATAAATATATTTATATAAAATACTCTAACTCATACTTGTACGCATCCTCAATGTATGTATGTATGTATGTGTGAATGTATTTACCAGCTATGTATGCATATTTTGTCATCAAATTGAACAACTCAAAAGCAAAGCAAAAACAAATAGCTAACAAAATCCCTGAGGGATATTTATTGTTGTTTTTTTTTTTCTTTCCTCGTCTTCAAATACAAAATACCGAAAAGTTTTGCAAAAGGATACGATGACTAATACATATGCATCAACTAGGTTTTCTCTATGTATTTTTAAGAAAACAACACACACGCACACACACACACACAGTCAGACAAACTGCCACAGCAAAGCAAAAACCTTAATATTATCAACATTCAGATTCTGAACATCTCTCACTCTTTAACACTGCCCAATTTTTATATAGATGTATTCTCTGTCTCTGTCTAACTTAAGATATATGTGTGTGTACCCTAGTATACTATGTATGTGTATTGGATAAATATTTGCTAAACTAACCCACACACTCACTCACACATACACACACATTCCTATCCACCCAACACACACACACAAACACACACACTAAATGTAGTTTCATTTGTGCGACAGTTTTTTGGGTTTTCTGGATAACTCGAACTCTGTGGGTGGTTGGCAATTTAAGCTAGCAAAAAGCAAATGCAGAAATTCAATTTTTGCCCAAAAAAAACAACAACAAACTAAATGAACAAAAACAAAAACAAAAAGCAAATTAAATAAATGTTCCTTTTGAATCATCAACAAAACTGACAAAGCTCTCTTTATTATTATTATCTCTCAATGGGTTTTACTCTTACTCGCAACAGCGAAAAAAAAAGTAAGTATAAAGCAGGCAACACTTGCAACACTATGTTGCATGTACTCGTTTTGGGCTGCCAGTTGCTGTTGCCTCACTTGATTGGCTTGTCTTGGCTTATGCGGCGTATGCGTGATGTCCATGCCGCGGCACGTACAGCCCACTAGCAACGAGGCAAAAGGAAACGAAAAAAGCTACTACATAGTGGTTAAGAGAATATAAAAAAAGGCACAAACATTATTTTGCCGTTACAGCAGCGAAAAAACTCGTTTGCTTTGCGTCCACTTTTTATGGAGCACTCAAACTGCATAACTACTGAAAGCTTTCCTTCGTTTCTCATTGCATTTGGCATGTCTGCCAGATAGAAATGTCAATTTGAAAACCAGCTGACAATTTCAAGTCGAATATGTGGACTATACATAGACTATGTGAAAAGCTGAGATCCATGAGCCCAGACTAACTGAAATTGAATTCCACAAGAAGTGCTTTTGGCATGTATAAAGCAACAAACTGGCTTAATTCTGAAATGCTACCTGATGGCTGATAGCGGCTTTCTTAGCAGTATTTTTGGCAAATATAAAGAAATATGCCAGCTGAAGTTGATCTAGTCGAAATCTTTACTACTCTGAGCATATTATTTATGAAATGGAATATATAGCATCAAGAGAAGACATATATTATATAGAATCTATAGTACATATAGGTAATATATGTATAAAGAATTTGTTCAGCTGATATACTTCTTGCTTTAAGAAGTGCTTTTAGCATGTATTAAGCACTTAAGCACTTACCTAGCTTAAATCTTTACTTCAGTCAAATGTGCAACCTTTACATCTATTAGCAGTGCCTTTGTCATATATATAGAGCTTAGTTGGCTATAAACTTCAGCTACTTCAGTTACTTCAGTTAGCAGTGCTTTAGGCTTGTAAACTACTTAATTTTGTATGCTTCAGTAAAATCCGGCTAGATGGTTAGCTGCACACATACCCACGCTCACACAGACACACTCACAGTTGGATATATTTGCTGTGCGTGTCAAATGCTGAACTCGGCGCATTTACAGCGCTCTTCCTCCAACAGCCACCTCCAGTGCTGCGCTCTAATTACAAAATCACTGTCAGTTTTTTGTTTTTGTTCTGCATTTTTTGTTTTTCTGTTCTGTTATTTTTTGTACGAGGACAGTCGCTTTTCGTTTTCATAACGGCAGCACTTTGTTGTCGAGTGGCAAGTGGCAAGCGTGGCAAGTGGCAAATGGCAAGTGGCGAAAAATAAAAAGTGCCACGTTGTGTGTTTGTTCGCTGAGCTGGCAAAAACTCGAACAACTCGCACAGTTGACCAAAGGGCTTTTGGGTGCTGCCGTTGTTGTTGCTTGTTTGTTTGCTGTGCGTGCCCCAAAATCAGGCGCCACACATACTGAGCATCAGCTGCTGCTGCTCTCGTTACTGGTGCTATTGCCCCGCCCAGCCAATCATAGCCCCATGCTGTATAGCCGCCTGCTTAACGCGTTTTTATGCGCTCTCATAATTGTCGACACTAATGACGCTTCTGTGCATTTGCAGCCATTTACAACAGTTAAAACACAGGCACAGAGACTCTGTCCTCGCCTGGGGACACCCAACAGCAATCATAAATGGATAAATGATGCCAAATGTTTTTCATGTTCCATCAAAGCTGAACATTTGACAGCGAACTTTTGCTAACTGGACCGAAAAGAAAATCAATTCAGACGAACACAAACGAATCAAAGCTTTTGACCTTCAGCCTTTATTTTTGACATAAACTCTAGTTATTTAAATCATAGAGAAGAAATTCGTATATTACACATACGCTCCATGGCCTCGATCGATAAATCTAAATCAAAGCAAATGAATTTCAATGCATTTCAATGGCAGCTCTTTGAAATTGACTCTGCCTTGATTTTGCAGGTTTTCATAACTTTTACGTTTATTAAATACGATTTCAATCTGTTTGGACGCTCAATTAAAATGCGCATTACGAATGCTGACATATGATTGCGCAGGGATTATTGTGAATAGCGCTTTAATCAAAATAAATCAAAACCAATTTGAGCAAAATTAATTTTTATTGCGTTTTTTATAGAACCTGTAATGAAATTCATATTTTTTCTCTTAATATTTTTATTTGCAATCATTTTGGCATTGTTTTGAGTCGGTAAACAAATTGTGAAGTTTGGCGGATATAATCAATTTTGTATGTGTGTGTGTGTGTGTTTGTGTAGGTGTGAGCACGTATGTAGACAGGTGTGGGTGTACATACGTGTGTATAGTTTCAATTCTTGTAAATGCCTTTGGGCCTTTAATTAAAATGATATATGTAATTGTA